TATATATTTTCTGCTGGGGTGGAAAGGCCTCTGAAACAGCATTTAGACCACGTGACATAAACCCTTCTCCCAGGCAAAGAGTCTCTTCAGTGGTCGGAGAAACACTGTTTCAGTCTGTGATCCCTCTTAACAGATCCAACAGCGTGCTGCTGCAAGGCCGAGCTGCTACTGATGGCTTTTGTGACTGGCATGTAAAGAAAGTTGAATCAGTTTTATAAAAATAAAAAAAAAAGAAGTCCAGTCTAAGGACAACACAAAACAACAGATCCACAAAGTCGCAGATCGTGCACCCTGGTCCCTCTCCAGTACAGACTGGAGACAAAGGTTTTTTGGTATGGCAATCACACATTTAAATCCTATAAACAAATCAACCCAGCTATTCTTAACCACTTGGCCACATCTCTGCACTTTTAAAGTGGCAAGTCTTAAACAGCTCTGCCAATAGTGTTAAAGGCACTATTTGTTACCAAAGTGTGCAGTGAAGCATAGAGATGAAGGCCAGAAGCTCATTCTGCCTCATTTGTTTGCTCCCATTATTATTTTATGGCACATGGTTGCAAATACTGCAAAAAAAAAAAAAAAAAAAAAAAAGCATTCATACAGAACAAACACTGACACGTTGTCATCACTCAGCACACAACCGATCACTGACGAAATGTTACAAAGCAATGGGATTTGTTGGAGATTGTTGTTGTGATTCCAGACGCTCCCTAAATCTTACAGGTGAAAATGGAAACTATGACATCAGTCGTTTTAAGTGTTAAAAGGCATCCTGGAACAAGATGAGGTTAAGTGTTTTGTTTTTGCTCATTGTCATTGATGAAAAATCAACAGTGATGGAATATCACAGGCCTCTTTTCTACTAGTGTCATCAATAAAGGGGAGAACACAACTAGAATACATAAGACATGATCATTTCAGAAATGACTGATGAAAAGTCATGTTGATAAAGAATTGGCCCCTCGCCTCTCAGGAGGGCCACAAGACACTGTTCATGGTTAAGGCTTTTCAATATTGCAAACTCTGACAACGTCTGCTGAGAGATTCCTCTGATTCCATCCACAGTAACCACAGGCTTAAGTGTTTCAGAGTGTACTGTAGTGTGAAACCTACACTCTGCTGCTCTCCCGCAGGCTTTACCCTCACATTTCCAACACGAGCTCGGCACGGACCGCAGTTCATGCGCATGCTCAGAAAAAAAGGGTAGTGTAAGATACAGTTCATATCAGTTTTATTTCTTGGTAGGTTGAGATTTTATGGCGCTACCTCTGAACAATGTCACTGATCTCTTTGACAGAGGACAGCAGCTTGCTGAAGTCCTGCTGTGCGTTGGCGCCCCCTGTGGCAGTAGGGCAGATTTGCAGCTCACGCAGGCTGCTCTCAAGCTTGTTTATGGCCTCGCGGAAGGCAAACTTGTTCCTCATCTGCTGTATGGAGTCAACGTAGCTCACGCAGTACTTCGACAGGTTCTTTCCAGCCTCCAGCACAGCGCTGTGGCTACCCGTCTGCTCAGAGTTGCGGGAGATGGCTGCGCGGAGCAGCTCGGTGCCTTCTAGCACCATCTCACGCGTCACAGCTGAGTTAGGGGTGCGCTCAGCAGCCTGGCGGGGTGCGGTCTTGCGGAGGGAGCGTCGGGTGTTCACTAGGGGGATGAAAGCAGTGGGTGAGCTCAGATCGCCGGGGCAGGTGAGGGAGGAAGAGAAACCTCCCAGGCTCTGGCTGGAGAGGGAGCTGGTCACTGAAGAAGAGGAAGCAGAGGTCTTTAACGGTTGAGGTTTGGAGGTGGAGCCCAGGGGCAGCTTCTTGGAGCCCTCACTGACGGATGAGCGGGCTTGGTCACTGGCAGTGGTTGTATGGTGGGGTTCTGAGACAGAGGGGAGACCCTTAGCTTTGATGTCTGAGGTGGTGGATGAGGTCGAGGGGAGTTCTTGAGTGGGGCTGCGGGAACTCTTGCCTGTTTTGGCATTTGTGGGTGGTGGAGGTGGGGCTGGCTTGGGTTTCTGTAACCTTCCTCTTTCCCTGACAGATGAAGAGTCCACACTATGTTTGTTTCTGCGGGCCCTGCACTCATCTCCAGCTGCGCCTAAAGCAGGGAACACATTGGGCTTGAGAAGCTCAGCGTGGAGAGCGCTGGTCTTGGAGTTCTCCAGTCCCGGCAACCCTGGTCTCCGGACCACCTTAGGTGTTAATGCCTGGGGACTGGAACCAGGACTGGGATCACTGTCTTTGGAGAAGGTGGAGGAAACATCTGATGAGATATTCAGACGTGGCGGGGGAGTGAGGGTGCCCATTCGAGGGGCGTTCTCGCCTTTTTGCTCACTGGTTCTCTTGCGTGGCAGAGCTGGCTTGCCCCCGAAGGTGCCTGAGTCAAAGTGGCGTTGGCCGAGGTCTCGCGGCAGTGTGACAGACTTCCATTCAGTGCCATCTGAGCCAGTGGGCATGCTGGAGGACCAGAGAAACCGCTTTGAGTTAGACATGGATTCCTCCTCACTGGGCGGTGTCGTAGCTGCTTTTCCTCCGGGGCCAGGCACCGCAGGAGCTCCCTTCTTCCTGGGAAACAAAGGTCCTGGATAGGTAGGAGCCCCGTTGGTGATGCCCCCTGCCCCATTATTGTTCCCTAGGAATTTTGCAGAGTCGAGGCCATGTGTGATGTCATTGATGGCCAAAGATGCACCGTTGTTGAAGCTGTCACTGTCTCGTGGATCTGGAGTCACGCCCCTCCTGTCAGGGTGGATGTCCATCTCTCTGAAAGAGGAGCTGCGTTTGGGCGGAGCGGGTGCATACTTTTTCTTTTTCTTTGTCTTTATGAGACTGAGTAAGCCACCGCCACGTGTCTTGTCCTTGTCTTTGGGCAGCAAGCGGTCATCCTCATTCAGGTTACTGTCCAGGAGGGGGCGCTCTTTCCTGGGAAGCATGGGTGATGACACCGCTGCCTCTGGCTCCAATGGGTCTGTGGAAGAGGCCAAAAAGAAACATGAGTGATAAAGAAGAATAACCAATTTTTGAACCACAATTACAAAATACTTTGAAAGATGGGAAAAATTATTTACTATTTTACAACAAGTTGTAGCAACTCACGCAGGAGTGTGTGTGAGTGCGTCTCACCTGGACTATCTCCATCCCGGTTGTCCATGTTTTTGCGGAGAGTTCTGGTCTTGGTGGGCAGCTCTGGAGCCTGCTGGATGGGGCCTAATGTTGTCTTCTTCTCTTTCTTGCCCAGCTCCTTTTCCACCTCTAACAATAAAGACAGTCAAGATTTAAGAGTCTTACCACCAACTCTGACAGAACCATTACATGGATATCTGTGGATATTAGAAAATAACAGCAACGAATCGAGGTGCTGTGGGTATCAAAGAAAGCAGTACTGACCATCAGAGATGCTGGACTCCTGGAACATGGTCTCAAAGGCTTGGTGTGTTTCAGCAAAAGATGGACGCTCTGAGGGGTTCCACCTCCAACCTGACAGAAAGACAAAAAAATATAAAAATCAACAATTAAAAGTCCTTCCAATAGAATAGAGTGCTTCTAATCATGGTCTGCATAGATGAGTTTTGCTACTCACAGTCCCTCATGAGCTCATAGACCTTCTCGGGGCAGCCCTCCGGTCGGTCCATACGATAGTCTTTCTCCAGCAGCTCGTACACTTGGGACAGGTCGATGCCGGGGTAAGGAGACATGCCGTAGGTAGCGATCTCCCACAGCAGCACACCAAATGCTGCAGATATAGGCACAGGACAGCTAGCTGTGTTATTCATACAACAATAAACAACTGAAACATGTCCAATGACTGGAACGTAAAGTCATGGTGGGACTATGTGAAATATTATAATTAGTAAAATCGTTTCCCCTTGTTGAATAAAGAACCTGAAAGAAATTAGCTATTCAAGCAGGAACATCAGGAACACATTTCAGCGATGAGATCAAACTTACCCCAGACATCAGACTTAATAGAGAACTTGTTGTAGGCCAGACTCTCTGGAGCGGTCCACTTGATGGGGAACTTGGCCCCAGCGTGAGCTGTGTAGGTGTCTCCAGTCATTAGCCTGCTCAGGCCGAAATCTGCAACCTTTACCAGGTGGTTCTCCCCGACCAGACAGTTACGTGCAGCTAAGTCCCTGCAGGAGAGAATACAGAGAGGAGAATGAGTGGTGAACAGAGGCCATGAGGGAATCCTGACTTTCTAAAATCAGAAACAGACTATAAACTACTCCAAAAATAAAAAGGCATAAACGTATCTGAGAAGAAATAAGAAAAAATCAATGGTATGTCTTGTTACAACATCCACTGTAATGTTGCAACTCTACAGATGTTTTGTGTGGAGCAGAGTCACAAGCAGAGTCTTGTCAGGTTTAAAAATTAAAATGCAGTTTGGCAAATACCGAAGACATAAATCATCTCATCCCTTCAGAAGGACCTCATTAAACGTGCCAGAATAAACGAGCTATGTAACATGGACTTGTCTGTGATGCAAGTCTGTCCTCCTAAGAGAGCAGATGAGAACAGAGCAGCTCAGGAATGGGGACAAAAGAGAAAATGAGGACAAAGATAATGTTTTCTTTAGTATTCTTGCAGCTCTGACTCAGACCACAGCACTGTAGATAGGCTGTCGCGCCTTTTACAATGAAAACTGAAATCAGTTATCTCAGATTCAATACTGTCCAACCTCTTTGATTAAATATAGACTTGAAAAAGTAAGAGTGAGATCTACACTACCTGTGTATAAAGTTTTTTTTCTCCAGGTACTCCATGGCAGAGGAGATCTGTGTGGCCATGTGGAGCAGCACCACTGCATTAACCTCCTCTCTGTTGCACTCCCTCAGGTAGTCGAGCAGGTTACCATGGGTCATGAACTCTGTGATAATGTAGAATGGTGGCTCCCGTGTGCACACTCCTGCCGAGGAAACAGTTTAGAAAAAAAATGTATTAATATCCCCTTTAAAATGAGTTGCTAGTTGTTATAGTTATGTGTTTATTTTTACTGCATTTTTAATTTTTGTTTTTAATCCAGTTTAGTCACTGTTTCCAGAGTGGGTTTGCTGGTTTCAGTTTAGTTTTTATTTTACAAAAATGTTCGTTTAAGTGTAGTTTTTATTAGTTTCAGTATTAGTTTTAGTTTCTTTTTATTATTATTATAAACATGGACAGTATTTAGAGGCATGATTTAGGAGTTTCAGAATATGTATTACATTACAAACAACACTTTGTGATGGCTCAAAATCAAGAAGACATTCCAGTCTTAATAAACATGCACTACTGCCTCCTGACGTTTGACCAAACTGACTAAGGCTAAAACTTTTATTTAAGTTGACTAAAACGTTTTTTCACACCTCGTTTTAATTTTTAGTTTAGTTTTAGTTAACAATAATAACTGTAGTTTGAGTGTTACTTTCATTAACTTTTAGGCAGGAGGAATCTTGAAAATACATCTGCTGCACTGGACAATAAAATGTTTAACATGCAAACATGAGTACCTCCGCAAAAGACTCCGGTTAATAGTTCATCTGAGCCAAAAGAAATCTATTCAAATGCATAACTTATACAATAGTATGATATAATATGCTTTTGAAAGTTTGCATACCTAACAGTTGTACCAGGTTGGGGTGTTTGATTTCTTTCATCACAGCGGCCTCCTTGAGAAACTCTTCCACCTCCATCGTATCCTCCTGGACAGTTATGAGCAAAAAAGTGAGCAAAGCCCTGGACTGGCTGCAGTTGCATCCACACGCCACCAGATGGTGGCATTATTCAGCCAAATTGCATATTTATAACTGACCATGTTAATATGTTGTGGTATTAAGTATCAAAATGTTTCCTCTTGACTTAATGCATATAGACATAAGCCCTTTCCTCATCATGTCAAATGTATGAGCTTATAAATCCAATCTGGTCTCACACAGACCTCTCCTTGTCCCACTTTCTTTCTTACCTTTAGTGTCTTGACAGCCACAGTGAGGTTGTACTTCTTCCAAACACCCTCGTACACTTCCCCGTATTGGCCCCCTCCCAGCTTGTGTTTCATGGTTATGTCAGTGCGCTCCATCTCCCACTTGTCATAGTTGGGAGAAACTCCGTAGATGGTGGGCTTGTTGCGTTTCGGCGCCGGGTAGTGCAGCGTGGTGATGAGGCCGTCGGCCACCGTGGAGTGGTGGTGCACCAGCTCCGCCAGTGTGTTGAAACGGCTTTCCGACGAGACGTACAGCTGGAGGAGAAAGAGATTCTACATTTGAGTAGATGTACATGAGAGGTCAGTTCAGTTTAGGACAGACAGAATTTCTTGCAACTAAGTGTGATGATAATGCTACTTCCTAAACCGAATGTCTATAAATTATTTTCAGTTGGGAGGAAAATTTTAAATTCTGCAATTAGACAGGTTAAAGGACGGTCAAAACAAATGTACATACGGCATCAATATGCATTAGGCATCGGCTAATACAGTAAATAAAGTTACTACATCATCTTCATTATTCCAAAGTAAAACTTAGACTCTATTTGTGACCTCCTTCCTGCTACTCTTGTACACAAGTTCTGCTTCTGTCCTGAATTATCTAACTATTGGAAATCTATTTTCCAAACTCTGTGCCATGTTTTTGGGCAGGTGATGGGGCCTGATCCTTTGATGGCTGTATTTGGCATCTCGGGAGAGGATAGTCCTCTTAAAGGAGCAAATTACAAGATTGCATCTTTTATGATGGCATTAGCACACAGGTTAGTTGGAATAACCCAAAAACCCACTTAGGTTTTATGGTTAAGAGATGTCATACAACACCTAAAACTCGTATATTTTGTGGTTTTGCTGACAAAGTTGAGAAAATTTGGCGTCCCTTTCTGTACTTATCTCCTCACATGTAGCTTGCAGACCTAAGGTCATTGTCATTATGGAAATGTATTATATTAGGATAAACCATTTTAGATGCATCATCTCCTTTTTGAGGGGGACTCAAAATACACATTCATAGAACAAATGGAAAACAGAACAGTACAGAACACACTGTTATAGGACTTAACAATGAATAAAACAAATATTAATACAACAAACTAATGAAAAGATAATGACTAGGAGGGAAAAAAGGAGTACAACTTTAGAATAAACACAATTAAAAGAACGATGATCAATCTCTAAACAGCATTATTGAAACTACTGGCAAACTGTTTTAAGATGAGAATACAAAACATTTTTATATATGTGAAATGATGACAGAGAACAACATTTAAAGGTAAATTAATCCAATCATTTTTGGACACGTCGCATCATGAAATCACAAAAATGTGATTTGCAATGAACTTATTTGGTAAACTAAAAACCAGTGAACAATTTTTAAAAAAGGATGGAAAATAGAAAAGAGTGCACCACAGCTGTTAGGATTTTAAATAAACAAATGTTACCAAATGTTTTCATTACATGATGACTTCTTGTGTAAAAATGCATTAAAAAGTTAATGCTGACACTCCATGTCTGGAAACAATAAGTGATATTAGGGAAACATATCAGACCAAAAATAACTGGCAGTGTGCCAGTAATACAGCATGAAATAATCTACGAAGTCTTAACAAAATGACACTAAAACATTTTCTTAATAAAGAACCCTGGGTCTCGGTCTCAGCCCATTCAGAGCTCACAAGGCATTAGTCAGGAAGCTAGTGGAGGGAAGGATATTGGTCAGGGCTCAGTGGACACAGTCTTTTCCATTGTCCAAGTCTTACATAACCCTGAAAATGATTTGCTCTACAATCTGCACTGTGCATTTCTTTACTGGTGAACGGGCTCTTTGAGGAAGCTGAAGGCATGCGGGGGGAAACTGGAAAAAGTGCAGTGAAAAGACCTTTAAAATCTAAAGAGGATTTAATGGTCAGTTGGCCGCTCTCCTGGCTTAAACCTTGACCATTTACTAAATTACGGGGGGAAAAAATCAGTTTGACTAACGTAAAAACCTAAGTTATTCGGAGCGCTGTTAATCACAGAGTCAGAGTGAAACAAAGCTGCAGCTCGGGGGAGTGCTGAGGTAATCTCAAATTATTGGAGAAGTCATACCAGACTCTTGAGTTGTAGCTCAGTGGGAGGATGGAAAACAATATGAGATGGGGAACTGTGTGTGTGTGTGCGTGCGTGTTCGCCCATTTGTTTCGTGTGTGTGTGTGTGCATACTTGGCTGCATCTGTCTGTGCTAATGCATGTCTTAGCATGGGCGTCAGTGTCTGGCCGGCCTTGCGTCTGCTGGCCATTATGAGCAGCACAGTGGTGGTTAGAGGCATTCTTGTCATAGCTAGAGTTCCTCGAGCTAGCTCACCTCACTGCATCACAGACAGGAGGGTGACACAGCCAAAATGGCAGCGGCTTCTCGATTGACATAGCAATTTGGGGGAATCCCGCGGAAGACATTCAGCCGTGCATACAAATATGGCATACACTTATGGTATATGGACGTGCACTTGTATGGAGCCTTTCTGGTCTGGTTTAGTCTTCCGACCCATCAAAGTGCTCTTATACCACCAGTCACATTCACCCATTCACACACATGTTCATACACTGGTGGCCAAGGCGACCATACAAGCTGCCACTTGCTAGTCAGTTTAACATTCACACACACACACACACCAATGGCACAGCATCGGGAGCAATTTGGGTTCAGTATCTTGCCTAAGAGTACTTTGACATGCAGGCTGGAGGAAAAGGGGATAGCACCAACACTCTTCCGATTACTGGATGACCTATCATATTGTCGGACCTATCATGATGACCCCATCAGGATGCACCTTATTTAAAAGCTCTCACTGTAACCGTGTGCTCCACGTACCCTGACTTCTTTGTCCAACCTGAGTCTTAAGCTCTTCACATTTATGACTTCAAGCAATATATTATGCAAAACCTCATAACATTTTTGTAGCATTTTAGAGACACTAAAATAATAAAAATTTCCATCTTAAGTTCCGTCTTCGCATTGGAAGTATCAGAACGATGGAAACCTGTTCCCTCGCCAACGCTGAGAGAGAACAGAATAATGCGCTGATTTGTTTTTTCAGATATTAGTGTTACTTTGTGAGTCTGTGTGATGCAGTTATATATTTCTATTTCTCAATATACGATACTCCTTGGTCACTGCAGCTGAGTATTATGTTTACTTTATATAAGTCCTTACATCTGAACAACAGCTGATATAGAACACTGCGGTCCTGCCATGTGCTGTTAGTAATAAACAAGTAATCAACTACAAACCACATCTAAAGAGGAAGCACAGTCCTAAGATTAGATCATAACATACTATATGTAACAGCCTAATGAACCTTAATGGGAAATCATAATGTGTTTTCTTATTTTCTGTCATATACATAATGTTACAATGCCAAATTTTCATCAAATAACGAGGTAAACGTATGTAAAAGTAATCCCCCTGACAAAAACCTAGGGCTTTAGACAGTTCTGAATACTCTGCTTTCAACATTTTTTCTACTTTGGCTGCAAACTGATGTCAGATAGATGGTCATCTGCTCCAGAAATGCTACTGCAAATGTCTACATTATGTAGCTTTCACTGCTACATGTAGCTACATGCTAACGTCAGTGCCTTTGTTGTTAATTTCTCGCTGATTTCTGATTATATTCCTGCTGGAACATGTACGGTTAGGTTCTGAAGCTTTTATTGGTGATTTTTTACGTTAAAACTTGCTGTTATTCTCCATTACAGTCATTCCTGGCAGGAAAGACAGCGCAAAAGATGCTGAAATGCGGAAAACCCGGAAACCCTGGCCAATCAGAGCAGACTGGGATTTTTTGGCAGGGGGGCTGGAAGAGACAGGCACTAAAACTGAGCCTTCTTGCATACAGGTGTTCCAGCACAGACGGTATGGGAAGTTAAAGTGTTTCTGAACATTAAAGCATGGAAACATGTATTTTGAGTATGAACCTGAAAATGAGCATAACAGGTTTAAGGTATTTTTTCAGCTGTCAACATACAGTAATTACACCTTTATTATTAAGTAGACAGACGACATTCTTGGTGTGTGTATACAGTATGTGTTTATGTTTCCTGATGCCTACCTTGCCGTCAGATGCAGTGTTAATCCTGTAATGGTAGACTCTCCCCTCGTACCGCAGAGAAATGGACCTCTGGCCGGGGCTACTCTCACTCTCGCGCACCAGGAAGCTTCCGTTGATGCCCGAGCTGAGCAGGTACTCTGCAGCGTTGCGTGACACAGGTCCATGGTACCAGCTGTGCTTCTCCAGGCTGTTGACTGGGGTGATGTAGTTGGACGGCACCCAACCCTGGCCATTCTTGGTCTGTGCCTCACACCACTCGCCGTTGTGGTTGTAACCCAGCACTCGCAGCTTCTCTCCTAGTCAACGTGTGAGATTCAAAAATGTAAAAACTACCCAGGAAGTACCTTGTTGGCTGCATAGCCATACTTTAATGTTATCGTTATTGGTTACAGCTCATTCCTGTTATCCTGGAAGGAGCATTTTCATTTTCTGCCATATTCTTTGCATGAACAAGAGACTACAATGACAACACTAAACTAGAACTGAACTCAGCATGTTTTAAGTCAGACATGCTGGAATTCACTGTATCTGATGTCATGTTTCCTCACATCAGAAACCCTAGCAGGGGATTTTTCTTTTCCACCAGTCATTTGGTGACCTAGAGTGAAGAAATGCACTCACTTCTTTAGTATCAATTGGATTAAACAAAAAAACCCCAAACTTTTAATTACACATTAAATCCTACAAATTGCCAGATTCTGATGACCAAACTTCAAATTAGTCCTTTATCTGACAATATAGACCAAAAGTGAAATAAAAATCATATGCAACAGCTTGTATTTGAATCAAGTGGAAAGTATTGTTGTTACAGAACATTTTCCTGTTTTTTCCGGTGCATATGTTCTCTCCTTCCTTCCTCCGCTTGTCTGTATGATCCGTCGGTGGTATTGTTTTACAGTCAATTCACAGGAAAAAAAAACACGCATGAGACCATCCTCAGGAAGTGAGAGTCAGACGGGGATGAAGACAGAGAGGGAAGGAGACGGGAAGTAAATAAGCAGATCCCCAGTTAGATTCATGACCTAACTCATATCCAGTCACTTTGCATTTCACCTCCATCATTCAAAATTCATTGGTATTTCTGTCATATTGACTCAACCATACCTGTAACCCCTGTATCAAAATGGTCTGAATCATTCCTATCTGAACACAAACTACTCTATTTAAAATTATGAGAATAAATGGCCTTATGCTTCTCTTTTACTTACCCTTAGTAATGCTGAGTGTGTTGTCACCACTGGCCACGAAGTCATATAGTGCGACAAACAGGTTGGGGTCATTCTCGCTGGGTCCGGCCAACAGGTTCTCTTTGGAGTTCCAGCGGGCGGCTTCTGTCAGACCCTGACTCTCAAAGTCTGGTCTCTGGAGAGCTTCTGGGAAAAAAAAGAAAGGAGAACACATGCTAAAATATGAGGGAAAACATCAAACAATGCATCGCTGAGAGAGGCCTGAGAGAGATCTGTAGGCGTGTGTTCGGTATGCAGCGAGACTGTGAAGCAGTTTTCCCATGATTCAGCAACAGTGTCAACTATTGCTTCTCCATGTGTCATTTAAATTCTTCTGCATCCCCTTTGACTAGGCCTCGCTCCAACAAGCAGGTCATCAGTTGCGGTCCCAACGTGGAATTAGAGTAATAAACCTGATCATGTGACCCACTGTGTCCCCGTTGTTTTTAGAACTTTTCATTTCCTGGATTATCCCTGCTTTGTTTTCATTTTCTTGAATACCGAGACAACTACCGCACATCAGACCGTGAGAATGTGTCCCAGCATGAATCTTCACTGTGACTGTAAAATGGATGTGCTTGCACTCACAGGTAATGAGCCTGGGTTCACAGCGCTTCAACTTACAGTTATGTTAATTACAGACACAGCGGGAATTATAGCAATTTTAGAGCAGTAAAACTGATGGCTAAATTACAAAATGTGGAAAATGGAAAGAATGAGGGGAAAAGAAGAAAATGGTGTTTAAGAGGGAAGAGAAAGAAACAGAAGAGCGACGTTAGGAGAGAACTTTTAACTGCAGTTTGGCCTAAACGTGAGCTTGATTGTTCGGTCTGCTCAGCTGTTGTCACACATGTTTCAGAGGCATCTTACATTTCTCACCCCCCCCCCCCCCCCCCCCCCCAGCTCACAAACACCCACATCCTTCCAACAGAGACAACAGGCTACAGCTGCACCCTGTTTTCACCTTCCAGTATGGATTTCAGACTAAGGAAGATGTGAGGGGGAAATATTTTAAATCGATTCGTAAAAAAATAGCAATAGTATGAACGAACCAAACCCTCAAAAACTGATGAAAACAGACTGAATCTAAACTTACACTTCCAATTCTCCACAATCACAGCGTGACTGGAAAAAACAGTGTCTAACTATTGACGTGTGACAAACTTAAGTAAAACTGGCCAAGCAGAGAAAAGCATTAAAAATTGAACTGTAAAATAGCTTTGGGCCTCTACATTATTTTCTTCGCTTTGTTTTTCCAGAGTCTAGGGATTTGGTAACTGACTTCTAAATATGTTTATTTGGTAATCCAGCAATTACGCCCTTCTACAACTGTAAAATTAAACACTTAAGGTAATGAAACACAATCCAAAAGCTATTATTTTTCTTCCTGCAAAAATGACAAATGAAATTAAACATATTTGCAGCTGGAAATCATGACATCACTTCTCACACACCCTGATATAAATATCAAACTAATATACTTTCTTAAACTCGAACAAATAGACTGGACCTATGAATAGAACAATGGTCTGAGGGCGAAGTTTAGCTCCAGGGGACAAACTGTAGTTGTCATGAGAAAATACCACTACAAGTTTGCCAGCATGTCTGAAATGCTGGTCACCGCCTGATAAAACACAAAACCAGCTGTCAATGACAGTTTTTAAATAAAGCATGATATCATAGCTCTTGTACCGCAGGCAGGAAAATTGTGGCCAACCTGAAGCATTTCGAACTTGCATACACACACACACACACACACACACACACACACACACACACACACACACAACGATGGAACAGTTATCCATTACGTCATCTCTGTCAACTGAAAATCATATATCTTTAAGTTGTTATTTATCATTTTGTTCCCTCTACCCTTTAATCTTAAAAACTCATCAAAAAGCTATTGAATTCACCTGATCGTGTCTTAGATGCAGGTCACTGTCGAGGCTGTTTTTCCTGAAAATGTGACAGTTTGGAGATACAAGCTCTTCATCATATGGTGGAAAGAACTGGAGCTAAACCAAGTCCCCCAGCTGCATAATGCAGCAAATTACGACTTGCTCACCACATTTATTGCATAAGTGGATGTTAGCTGAGAAAAATTCCACAGATCTAGTCTGTTTCTGCAAAAATACATAACTAAATCAGGAGTGAGATCACCTGATGTGTCTTTTGCAGACATGCTTGCAGAAGGAGTGGTCAGATCTGTCTGGTCTGAAGGAGACCAAGGTATGAAAACAACCAAAAGCATCCAGAACCTGTATAGTGTACCACAACTGTGATTTATTCACAACATAATGATTGTTGGAGAAAAGGAGAATGTGCATGAAGTGATCGAGGCACAGCTGGATTTGGTGGAAACTCAGCAGAGAGCTGATTGAGCATGCAGCAAATGGGTGTCAAAATGGAGTAGCAAGCAACTATGGATATACTCAGGACAGTAAGAAAGATGTCTTAGATGATTTGAACGGTCTGGATGGTTCATAGTGTCGCGTAACATAGCCGCAGATCAGAAATGTATTTTGGCCCTCAACCATTCAGTGCTTTATAAAGCAGCAAATCAATTCAAACAAAAAAGATGCCAGTGTAAAGATCTGAGAACTGGAGTGATGTTATCCACACTCTTGGTCTTGATGCTCCTGAATGATTGAGTCCAGAGCCTTCCCTGTACTGTGTGTGAGCTCCGTCACATGCTGAGAGAGTTCATAGTTATCCAGAACACAATACATTTATTTAGTGCTGCTGTCCTAGAAGTTATCAACATCAAACTTAAAATCATAATATATAACAGAAGATAGACAGCTGTTCAGCAAAGTTAGCAAACTAGAATTGGTTCATTCTTTAGTCAAAGTGGAAGTTTGTGCCAAATCTGAAGAAATTCCCTAAAGGCTTTCCCGAGATATCGCGTTCACCAGAACAGGACAGATGCACAGACAACCAGGAAACATAATGTCTCCGACAATGGCTATCCCTGGCGCTGAGGCATAAAAAGTTCATCTCTTCTTAGGCAGCCTGAAGAGGTTTAAAAATGCAGCTCAACAAAGGGAATTCAATTGAAAAGCAGCATTTTCAAAACAAGCATGAAGCACCTCCTTTCTTATGCACTCCAGCTTTGCTCACAAAAGTTAGGAGAAGTTGGGAGGGTTTGTTATCTTGGTTTAGCCAAACTACAACATAAAATCAAGAATGTGTTTCATAATAAAATCATCAACTAAAAATGATTTGCTTGCCACAGACCTGCACATTAAGTCTATTAAAATCATTCTTTGCCAATTAAATGTTTTTGGTGACAGGGTTGAAGACAGACTTTGGGTGACTTGGAATTGATATTAAATTTGATACATCTAGTTGAGTACAACTTGTTCATTCTACTCCTTATCAAAACAACAATATGAACATGAAGTCCTGGAGAAGATTCTGCTTCTGGGCGCTGGTGTACAACCCCAAGTGTGTTTGTGTGATGAAGGAGCTTTACAGTCACATATAGAGAAGATATCCCTTGCGGGTCCTCAAAGAAAGAGATAAACAAAGGCTTTGTAGCACGCAAGACCAAATGTAGTATAACCCTAAGAAAGTAAAACACACCATATGCTGCACAGTCAGTCACGACATTGTTGACAAGTTGAAGACATCAGTGTATCAGGAGGCAGACGGAAGACTTTCACACAACCTTTCCTGCCAAGTTAGGCTCACCAGTCTCAACACAGTGAGACAATCAAAGCCAAATGTGGTGCTTCTTTTAGGCCTAATCACAAATCTGCTATTTTTCCTGTGAGAGCATGTCAGATTCAATTTCATCTGGAGCATGCTGCCTGGCTCATACTCTCATATAAACATGAACCAAATATATATGAGTTCCATGCTAGTATTATCAATGCATGGATGTTACTGTCTCATGTCAAAAAAATCTGAACTGCGGTTTTAAGACTACAAAAGAATCAAACACAAGTATTTTGGTGAAGACCGGCTAAATTAGCAAAATAAGATGAACTTGTCAAACATTTTTCAAATGCCAGTAAACTAAGTTATTGCTGGCTAGTCATTGATACCAGTCATCACTGTACAGTAATGAAAAAGAACCAAAAACGTAATGCTTTCTTGAGGGACCGTTTGGTTTGTTTTTTGGTTTGGTCTAGCTTTATTTTTGCATGAGGCACGAAGATATTTGCATCCTTGCCAGCTGGGGGAAGCACCCTTGATTGTTACTCCAAAATGCAACAGGTCTGCCTGTTTTCAAAAGAGGAATCCATCTATAAGCACAAGTCAATCAGTATACTGGTTCTCTGACACAATTTTAACAAAGTATTTGCATTTCTACTGTGTTGGATTGCATCATACAAGTGATTAGGATGTTCCCAAATCTATATTTTTCAGTATATATCAAAAACCAGCAGCCAAAGATTTGTCTTTTACTTTATCTTTTGGGTAAACAAACAAGAATGTCATGTTCCCAGTGATTATTGTAGATAAAAAGCACAAACACTATGATTGAAGTGAGAAAGACGGCTGTGTTTTATCAAATTTGGGCTTAGGGTTAGGCCAGAGATCAAGCAGGATAGAAAAAGAGTTCCACTAGGCAAGAGCAGACCTGAGTGCCAACAAGACATACCATAAGTCCAGAGTTTGGCCTGGTCATAAAGTGTGTGGGCAGCGCATTTTAAGCAACCCGTGCCACACATGTCCACTTTACGGGCCACAAATACCACAGCTCTTTGTGAAAGGGCGACAGCATACTGACACATGGACCGTGACAACACAAGCTCAAAGAGAGGAGAAAATAGAAGACATATGAAAAAGGAAACTCAGGACGCGAGTGAGAAACAAACAGAAAAAAAAGGCCCGTTATCAGAGTCATGCAGTGGGAGGAATTGCAGCATGTCCTGGCTGCATCACTGAGATGACACTCAAAATGATTAAATATGTGTGGAACTTGTAAAGCATTCAGAGCTATGACTACACTGCTATGAGCAAGAGGAATGCGCCCAAACTCACATACTGATGCAAGACAGAAATTTATTGAAAAAAGAAAAACAGACCACTTAAAATGAAATAAAAACATTATGTCTGGTTCTACTTGGTGCCGGTGACCACGAAGCCCTCTAGCATCTCAAATAAGCTGCCTTATGCTTTGGATGAAAATTAAACTAACTAGCAAATGAAAGAAACCAGCAGCAGTCTGAGTACAAATCTAAAGACGTTTTAATACCATGTTTTCCTTCCCGATACAGATACCCATACTTAAGCTCCCATATTGGCCAATACGAGTACCAATCCAATGCCATTGTGTACAAAAAAAAAAAAAAACATAACAAAAAATTAATAGCTGTATGCTACTGGCCCATTTGCCATGTCACAAAGCAAAATAAAATGATATATTTTACCTTCTGCACCGATCTACTCATATTTAGATGGATTGAAAGTCATGTTATTCCATTGCACATGTTCTATGGGATCAGCCTGATTTGTCAACAAACTTGTCCCAATGCATCATGGGATATATCTTCCACTTAGTAGGCTTCACCCAATGGCTAACGACAACAATAATTTCTTTCAATAAGGATAGATGGATAAATAATCACTGAAAACATACACCGTTGGATTTATAATGTTTAATGTCTCTAGAAAAGAAAACACTACTGTTCCATGCTGGATTACGAAGCTCCTGAGAGGGATAGGATCGCACTGGAGCTCTCCAAGATATAGTAAATAGAGCACCTTCATGGTATTTACAAAAATGACAACCTTGGGGGTTTAAATCAAATCTATTAATCAATTACGTGGTATCAGATCAGTGCATAGGCTCACTCACTCGCTGATATCCGATCCAGCATTTTAGGCACTATCGGAGATATTTCCAATACTGGTATCGGTATTGGAATATCTCTGTCCAAAACCATGAATGTATGTGGTCCTCTTTTCCATGAAGTTGACCCAAGTTTTAACCCACATACTTCTAAAGGAATGAGAGAGGAAAAATCTCTAGCTTACATATTTCTTTTGCATCACCTGTCATCTCCTGAGTGGGAGGTTGTGGAGAGAGCAAGGGGAACAGATTCAGATCATACATCTGATATGCCTGTATCCTCTGCAGGAGATTTCATGTTAATGAGAGGATGTTGAGACCAGAGCCAGGTGGAAAAAACAGGAGATAATAAAGAAACTAAATACGTCAGAACCACCATTTTCATCATTCAGAATAACTACAAGGTGTCATAAAATATTAAAATTGCACTTTCCTGCCATTAAGCTCATGAACTATCTTCATTCTAATGATGTCAAATTGCTTACTACTTAGGAGAAAAATACAAATGAGGCCTCCACCTCTAATGAAACAGTTCAGGTCAAAAAAGTTTAATTTGGGGTGGAACATCTCAGCGTGAGGTTTGCTGTGCCTTGTACCATATGGTCTGGAAATTAGAGACTCTTTATCACTGTCATCCACTTCAGTGGGGAGCGTACCATGACTATTAACTCTATTAAATCATTTGGTTGCGCAATCTTTGGCACACACAAGACTTCACTGAGTCTTCCATTGCCAATCAATTACTGTGTTGATCGTGTACAGACTCGATGTGCCCTGGATTTCTTCAAACTCCCCTTATGTCGCCTGCATACATCATGGGCAAATCAATTACCCACTTTAAGTGTGACCAGAACTGTGTGATTAGAAGTAATGGAAAAGAAGTAATCGCTCGGCTGCACACTACAAAGAGTGAGTCAGATATATAGATCTATTATCTTTTAAAATTATTACAGAAGCAGTGAACAAGATCCAAGTCCTGGTACATAGCAGAGAACTGAAAAGGGGAGAGCAGACTGAGATTAGATCCCCTCTCCTCATAAACAAAGTTAAGCGGGACAGGACCAGGAGTCAGATTTCCTTGTATTCTCTTCTCCGTCTCTTTTTCCACTTCTTTCCTCTTCAGCTAGCCAGTGTGTCTGGCCTCCCTCACCCTCCCCTGTGCTTACTCTCTGCTCTCCCCTCCCCATTCCTCTGTTTCCACAGTGCAGAAATCATTGTTGAGCCTTTACACTGTGATACTTCATCTTTTATCCTTTTCCCTGTGTCTCTTAAGCCCCTACCTTCAGTCTCTACTTTAATTTTCCAAAGTAAACTTAAAAACTTCACAGCCTAAGTTAAAAGACAACACTACAGCCATGACAAAAAGTGTTCTTACCTTCCAAGTAACAGCTGGAGGAGGACGAGAGGCCTTTCTTAGATTTACACCCCACCAATTTCAGGCATATCTCCAACATTTTCATTTGCTTTCTTTCCCTTCCCGCTTGAAAATGTTGTTGCTTGTTTAAATCAGGCGTCTCTTGAACGTTTCCCCTCTACATGTGTCCAACAGGAGAAAAGTTCAAACACAGGAAAAAAACTGACAAAAGGAGAAGCCAAAATAGGTGATAAAATATACTGGTTTTCTTTTCCTTGGTCGTTTTCGCTGGTGTAAATCCTCTTTCCCCTCACTCCTTTCCGAAACAGAAAGGCAGAGTCTGCTGTCCGGCAAAGTCTATCAACTTTCTCTTCTGAGCGTCTCCATGTTTTTTTCCCTCTTTTGCTTTTTTGCTTTTGGTTAGCTCCACTTTTTGTGAGATACAACAACTATCCAAAAGCGCAGATTTGGTCCAAAAGCTTGCTAGACCTGTAGATGTGTCAGATGAGTGGGCAGTAGGGCAGTCTGAGTGGTGCCATTCCTCTGTCCTGTCCCCTGTGTGAGTGTGTGTGTCTGAGGCACAGGGACTACTCGTGCTACAGCTGCCAACAAAGGGCCTCTTTCAGGCTCAGCCTGCTGCACTCAATGACATCAGCTGAGCCCTCCCACCTCCAGCAGCAAACACACAATGAGAGGGAGAGACCGCCACACACACATACACACACAGGACTCACCAAGAATACAAACAACAGCACATCAGCACCCTAAATTCATGAGAACGGATGGGACAAAAGCTGCCTGATTTCAAAACTTTGAAGTTTAGGTTGAGTTCAGACCTTGAATAGCTCCTCTTCCCTTCTGTTGAAGTCATGAGATGATTACAAAAAGCTCCTCCTCCAACTTTTTAACCAACCCTCCCCCCTCTGACTGTCCCACTGCCGCTCTCTCTTCTTTTTGACCATGCTTTTTCCCTCTCATCATTCTAAAATGTTTACAGGTTGAAGACTCAGTTCTGGAAACAGGGCTGCGTTGTTTAAGACAAAGCTAAAGCTCTCAGTCAAGAACAGACAGAACAGTATAACCTTCAGCAGTCTACTCTGGACATCAAACACAACTCAAACAGGCTTATTTGCCATAGGCTATTTCAAATGGAAATAAAGTAAGCAGCACCATATTTGAATTTATTAAAATGAGAACCTTTATCTTTTGATCTTTACAAAAACATGTCTGACCATGTGATTTCAGAGAGCAGTCGTGGCTTGGCCATATCTGGAAGGAACAAATAATCCTTGGCAGAAGCCAAGCTGTCTTGCGACACAACTTTTTTTGAAATCTCTTTTCTGTCTTTTCTCTGCTGTCTCAAAGTGTTGTGATGCACAACTGACTCAGAGGTTAAGTCATACTTATGAACTAAATCGATTGCAAGTAAATCCATTGAAAAGACAGAAAATGTCTCTACAGCTGTGCCTTGAAATGCATCTGAGAATGTTGATGGCATCTGTCAAAAAAAGTCTGACTTAACTCAACAATGCACACTTCTTAGCTGAATACAGATGCACCTATTTTCCTCTAAAGGCCTAGACACACCAAACTGTCATCAAAGAACTAGCGGCGACGAAAGCCAACTGTTTCATTGCCTCACGTTGCCCGTCTCTCGGCCAAAAAGTTGCACTGACCACACCTCAAAGACTAGAGCCAACATCCAGCTTGCATGCATATTATGTGCCTGCATGAGAGGAAATAACTCTCCATACCAGAAGGTGGCGATAGTCTGTATTCGTCAATAAAAAAGGGAAGCTGGAAGACCAACAGGGTGGATTAAAGGTGCTACTTAGGCTGTTAGCACATTAACAACACCACAAATTTGTTTCAATCTCACTCCCTCTTGAATTAAGGCGTTTGTTTACTTTCCTCATTTCCATTTTTTTTCTCGTGCATTGAGGCCTATGCCGACTCAACATACGGAACTGGCCAGAAAAAGGACTGACAAGGGCCAACAAGGGCCAATGAGGGCACACCACAAAAACTAGGGACATACACTCACCGATGGCCTGATTGACACCGTACACAGTACTACACTGTCGTACGCCATTTGCAGAGGATGGGGACCATCATTACCACCCATTCAATTGACTGCAATTCAAAAGTAGCCAAGCAACACAGTGTTTTTGTTCACTTATGTTTTTGTCGGATATATTATCAAACTCTTTAATAATTCATAGCCGCAATCTACTTTTGAGCAGGATATTGTTGTGCATTTCTGTTATTTTGTCCACTCATGTTATCTGGGCTAAAAGGACTGTGTAGTCATTATGCTACAGACTGAAACCACAAAAGAGCAGCTGTAATCCACTGACTATATCTAGCAAATATTTTTCCACTGAAACGACAAACATCATTCTAGAGATAAGAAACCCAGTCAAGTGGGTGATTACATACTGGTGGGAAGCCGGCCTGATGACACCATAGCACGTAGCATGAGTGCCAAACCAGTTAACAGGCTGACCTGGTCACTGGAATTTCCAATAAGGGAGCAGAAGCCCTGACTAAAAATATGCCATTACAGGAAAATATACAATGCACAATGGCTTTAACAGCTTTTGTTTCCATCTTATAACATGAGAGCAGTGACATCTGAGTCTTAATCTATGTCTGTAGCTGACTAACAGACATTTTATGTTAACCAGAAAGCCCAGTTTGCAAATACTGCTGGGGGATAGTTTCACTGGTCAACTTGGTGAGTAATACAAGGGGAGGAAAAAGAACAATAAACAAACGTGTCTGAAGACAAAACTGATACATGTGCAACATATAAGACAATGAGAAATACGAGGAGAGGAGAATAAAAATCCCCAGATAATTACTGTTTTTGTATATCCTCAGTTCGAGATGATTCCAGTCTGCCTGCTCAATTACAGAAGGTCAGTGCCTTTTCCTATTAGCTACATGCTCAGTTCTATTTATATGGCAGGATGTAACCCCTCCATCACACAGCCAATGGATCAAAGATGTGATGCAGAACACGAACCTGGAAAAAAATCAGATGCACCCTCCATTAAGAGATTTAATAAAATCTGGGAGTCATGAATAAACTATGCAAACTGTCTACCTATAAATGGTCCTATCTGTGCTTAAATACACTATGACGCTTTTTTTTTGTTAGTTTGCTTTCTGTTTTGTTTTGTGTGCTTCTCTTTCTTTTCCTTCCACTGTTCTTTGTATTTCTGTACATGTACACCTTGTGATAATAGCTTATGTAAGTGTCTTGTCTAATAAATGGAAAAAAACCCCCCCACTAAAAATAAAGCCTTAAAAAGAATAAAGATAAGGTGATCTCTGTCAGAGGAGATGTAGCCTATTATTAACTACGTTTATGAGCAAGTTTGCTAATGGCTGGGCGTGTATCACCAAGGGTTCATTTAATATGCCTCATTATGCTTGCTTCATAGGTCACATCTGACAGTCAGAAGAGTCCTTTAATTGTGAAAAGGCGCAGGAGTTCAGAAAAGGCGCCCTCATGAAGTTGTCAGACTGTTTCCCCGACCAATGGTTAGAAGTCAAGATTTTGAACTGGGAGGAATCCAAACAACACTACACACCCACATCTTTAAGTCTTGATACCTAAAGTTATTGTATACTTGTTTTAGATAGGCAGAGATGCTCTCGTTAGCAGCTACAGATATTCTTTAACATGGCGAAAGTCTCGGTCGCTTTGCATGTAATGACCTCAATACCCTGAACATCCAGTCACATGGCACCAGGCCCTGCATCATCGCTGCAGTGCTGGTATGGCAAACATTTGTGTTCCTCTCATGCACCACCCCAAATACCAATTAAGAAGAAATGCAGGCTTCCTCAAACTCTGAGAAAGGCCCATTAACTTACCGCAGTCACAAAGTGTTGTGGAGATGAGAGGATGAAGGGAAGAGGAGAGGGGCTATAAAAAATGGAGAGGGAAAGAGGAAAAAAGGTTGCAGATGGAGAAACATGAAGCACATTGTTTGGCAGTGAGCTCATAGGAGAATCGCTCGCTCGCGTTTTATAATCCGGGCCGTGTATGTTAACAGTTAGCTGACGTACATCCACCCACGGGATGGATTTTGGCCCTTTTCCTCTCATATACCCCCCCTCCTGCTTTTCCCGATTCAGTTCTTTAAATATTTCTGCAGAGAGAGCAGGTTGTATTCCCAAATTCTGAGGCAGCAACTGCACTACGACTGAAACTATACTAGTGTTATAGCATTTAGATGTTGACATGAATCTATATGTTACATCATATTTCAAATCCTAATTATCAATATGACACAGGCATTACTTTTACGCCAAATTACTTATTTGGAACCAGAATTCGCTGAGCAAAAATGCAGCTCAAAAATTAATACTAGGGCTGCCCAGTGGATCAATATTATATCAATATCTTGAGACTAGATATCGCCTCAGATTTTTTTCATATCGGCTGCATTACAGTAGAAGATGGGAACCATCAACTTTAACCACTTAGTCATTATATCCACATTACTTATCAGAAAAATCTCATTGTGTAAATTGTGAAAGCACCAATTGTCAACCCTGCAATATTATTACAATATCAATATCGAGGTATTTGGTCAAGAACATTTTTGATATTTGATTTTCTCCATGTCACCAAGCCCTAATTCATACCATTACATGATTAACTGCTACTGATATCTGCTTTAAACATTTTGCAACGTGCTCTGCAACTCATCTTGCAGCTAATTTTTTGTAGCATAGTGTAAATATGCAATGCTCCCATTAAAAAACATTCAAAACATACGAAGGCCACAGGAAAAAATGTTTCTTTTTTGACAAGTCAAGGGAGAGCTGTAATTGCAACTGCACTTATCACCATCTTCAATGTGTTATTGTTCTATCCTGGAAGGCATTCTTCTTCCTTCGGCGTTTAATGTTAGGCTTGAACACTTGTAAGTGTATATGTTGCCCTGTCTGGTCCGCAAGATGTGCATCCCTGGCACCTTTTGTACTGGAGAAAAACAAGCACTATCACGTTTTCAAAATTTTGGCATCGACTTGGTACCAAAGAATCAGTTATTGTGACTACAAAGATATTTGAGGACTGCCTGATTCCTGTCTTACCCACTCCACATGAGGGCACACACAAACACAATCACACAGTCTCACAATTTTAGAAATATATACCAGGAAACACTTGGCATAGGTCCTGTCCATCTAAGTCACGGACCATGAGTTATTACACGTTTAAACCAAGTAAGCTTTCTAATTACAGAGGAGGATAAGAGTAGGAGACAGGGAGAGAGATGAAGCCGCGTAGGTTCCAGCACATGGTTCATCATTCCACTGTATTGCTTCACAGTCACAGCCAAGAGTACTTAAATATCAGACACTCAAGAACAAGGTATGTATGTGGTGTGTGGATGTGTGTGTGTGTGTGTGTGTGTGGCTGTTTACTCTGGGCCTTCTGGAGAATGCAGTCAGAGTGTCTGAGTTGTGTAGACTGGCATATGAGGTTAAGGGGTTTAGAGTTCCACGTAATTCTCCACTTGGTATGTTCCACAGGGAGAGTGGACACTTGAGGACAAATCAATGGCTGCTCTGGTTCAAGGTTAAGGTCTCTAGCATCAGACTGAAGTGGTAATAAATTATCAATGTGGACAACAGTGAAAC